GCCATTCTATGATTATATGAAATGATTCTATAGGACTCATGTAAAAACTGGGGCACAGCTCCCAGTGTGTGTGCCAACACCTCCCTGGCTGCACACCACATGGGCTGCCCCACATCCAGGAGGTCTCACCAGCTCCGGGGATGGCTGGCAGATTCAGGCCCTTGGTAGCCGATGGCTTCCTCATCTGCTTCAGTTTGTCAATGCGAAGGTTCTCGAGCTTCTGGAGGGCCATCAGCCCCGAGGTGCCCATGGGCTCCCCGGGCACCACATCCTCCAGCGTGGACAGATCCTCATAGCTGCCACCCGTGTTGCCTGTCATCTCCACACCGCTGTCGTTGTTGGTGGTGCTGCCGAGGGGGGAGCGGTCACTGCTGCACGATGACTGCCCACCAGGGCTGGGCTGTGGCTTCTGGGGGTGGACCCAAAGGAAAAAAAAGGGTCATATATCCACTAATGCAAACTGGGATGCAAACTGACTCCAGCACCATCACCACCACCACCTCCGGCTCCTCACCGAAGCCAAGTCAGGCACCAGCAGCTTGCTGTCATCCTTCCGGATCTCTGCAGGGCCATTAGTGTTTTTCTCCTGCTTCATGTCCTGGGGTGCACCGGAGGCAGGCAGTGCATGGCCAGGCACCACACTGCCCCGGTGCTTCTTGGTGACGTGGGCATCAGGGCCGTGCACCGTCTTCACGTGCTTGCGCAGGGAGCTGGGATCCGTGTAGCGCTTGGTGCAGCCCGGGATCTTACAGATGTATGGCTTCTGTGGGGGAGAAAAGGTGCAAGGAGGGGGTTAGGATTGGTTGGATGTGATCCTTGAAGGTCCCTTCCAGTGGAACCACTGCGTTTCATTCCATTCCAAATTCCTCCCAACGAAAGACCAGAACCACCTCCTCATCCTCTCCATCTGGGAGCTGAGGAAACAGAGGGTGGGAAGGCCAGAAACTGAATCCCTTTGTGGGGTGTTAGAGGTCATAAAGAGGAAGAATATAAGGACAGAGCTCCACTGCATGGCGCAGGGATAAAGGGATCCTGGTGGGTAACCTCAGAAGAAAGGAGCTTGGGGATCTAATAGATCGGGCGAGGAGGGAATCAAAGAATCATAGAACGGCTTGGGTTTGAAGACACCTCAAGGATCATTAAGCTCCTATCCCCTGCCACATGCAGGGCCACCAACCTCCATATCTAATGAGAAAAAGTCCCAGGGAGAAACAGAGCAGCCTAAGGGGAACCCAAAGGGTGGCAGAGCTCCAGCTGTACCTCATTGGAGTGGGTGCGGTTTTGGTGCTTGGCCCGGTCGGAAGCGTTGGAGAAGGCTTTGTTACAACCCTCGTGTTCACACACGTAGGGTTTCTCACCCGTGTGGGAGCGCAGATGTGTCTTGAGGTTCTCCAGACGGGAGTACGCTTTGTTACAGCCCTCAAACTGCATGGGAGAGCAGAGCAAAACATGGCACAACCTCCAAACAGACCCTGCATGACCACAGCACATCGCCCACAGCCCCTTCACCTGTACCACGCCACGCTGCACCCCACCTGCACCCCTTGGCTCCACGTGCAGCTGTGCCACACCACTGAGCACAGGGCTCTGGGCACCTGGACCAAATTGCACCACGTGCTGCCACGCTACCCACCAACCCACCTCATTTTCCACCCCCCAAGTCCCCCACAAGGCCGTACGCCGCCCTCAGCTCTGCAAAAAAAAAAACCAACCACCAAAACCATTCCATCTCACCGTGCACTTGTGAGGCTTCTCGCCCGTGTGACGCCTCATGTGCACCACCAGCATGTACTGAGCCTTGAAGGGACGCTGCTCCCGCGAGCACGCTGCCCAGTGGCACACAAATTCCTTCTTCTCCCCGTGGATGTGCTCGTTGTTGATGTGCTGGGGAGAAGAGGGAATCACGGGGGAGGGCACTGAGTGTCAGGGGGATTGGGGTAAATTAAGAGAAGACGTGGGAAAATGTGGATATGGAGGGAGAGGGATGGGGGGGGAGAGATGCTGGGGGAATAGAGAGGGGTCAGATGTTGTGTGGAGGAAGCAGGGGATACTGGAAATGGCTGGGGGCTATCTGGGGGGTGGCCAAGAGAAGATATAGGGGTCATGGAGTGTCTGAAGGGAGACACAGAGAAGAAAGCAGGAAGTTTGGATGCACCAGAGCTTCGGGAGAGCTGGCTCAGGGGTGAGGAAGGCCAGGCTGGGTGGTGTCCCTTGGCACACGGTATGGGAAGATCACAAAGAACTTGCCCAGGTGAAGAGGAGGATGCATCTCCCTCCCTTCCAACACCGCTCACCCGTGTGGTGAGTTCTAGAAGTGGTGGGGAGAGCTGGAGGTTCAGCCCAAGACAGGGCAGTCTGAGCAGGAGCGATGGGTTGACACAGTGGCATGTCAGCCAGTGGCCCGAGCACAGGTTCAGGAACCTAGGGCGCCCAGGTAGGACCTAACTCACATGCACCAGCTGCTCCTGCGTGTCAAACTCCTTGGCACAGCCATCCCAGTAGCAGTTCGTTTCATAGATGGTCTCAAATTCAGGTTTCCCATCCTCCTTTTCCAGGTCTTCCCGAACACTCAGCATCCCCAGCAAGGGGTCCTGGAGGATCGTGAGCGGGTGAGAACTCCAAGGCATGATTCTGTGTCCTCCCTGCTCCTGGGAGTGGCACAGGGCAGAGCGTGGAGCTGTTGGGAGCAGAAGGGTCCAAAGGCCTGGGGAGTACCTGTGTGCCTGTGGAGGCTGGACTGGAGATGTCACCCTCAGATTTCTCCTCTGGATATTTGGCTGTCAGAGGGCTACTCAGGCTCCTCTCCAACTTTAGCTGCTGCAGTGGCAGGGGGAAATTGCAAAGCAGTCAGCAGCAGGATGCCCACCCATTATATGGGACGCACAGCATCCCTGCGGCCCCATACCTGGCAGTGTTTGAGGGTCCCACGAGCCGGGGTGTGATGTAGGAGCCCTGGGCGGGAGGACAGGGTTTCGTGGGAGCTACACGGTGGCAGGGGTGGAGTGTGGCTGAACAGTTGCCCTTGGCCCTTCTGCTGCCCCGGAGGGTTCTGGTACCCCAACGATGGACTGCAAAGAGCAAAAGGGATATGCAGGTGACACCAGCATAGGACAGGAGTTTAGGCAGGGATCTGAGCTCCCAGAACTCCTGCCTAGCACACCAGCCTAATTGCCCTCCCACTCTGGGATAACTGCTCCCAATTTGGCCCCTGGCATTCCCCAAGCTGGGCAACAGCACTCAGGTTGCTGCACTCAGAGGCTGTCTGCATGCCAGTGAGTCGAAGTCCGGTGCCCACCTGATGGTGCTGATGGAGAGGTGACCATAGGAGCCACTGGCAGAAGCGCAACGGGAGTTGATGAAGGCAACAAGGGAGTTGGGCGAGGTGCGGATCACCGTCTGCAGGTCAACACTGGAGTCTGACAGGGGTGAGATGGACAGTGCCCGCTTCTTGCCCAGCTTGCCAGCACCACGGGGCGTTGAGAACCGCGAGCCTGGGACGGTGGCAGAGAGTGGGGGGCAGTCCTCTTAGAATGGGTCCTGGAAGGCTGAAGCAACTGAAGTAACCCCCAAGGACACAAGCCTGGTGCTTTGGAGCCTGGAGGAGCACCTGGAGCTTGCTGGCTGCTGGCTCCAGACTGTGGCAAAGCTCAGAAACATCCCTCCTCCCTGTCACAAACCCTAAGAGGTATCTGAAGCCCTTGACACGCACCAACTCCTTTCTACAACCTATACCGGCCCAAAGTAAGTGCCCAGTCCTTTTGGCCAACACCAGCCCCTGCGTGAGCCAACACAGATTTCCCTATTGATAGAAACAACTGTATTGCAGGAGAGGTCCCTGAAGCCCCAGCAGCTCTCAGCACTGCTGGCACCACCCCTAGGAGATGCCCAAAGCCCTCATTAACCCCTCACCTGCCTCGCATCCCCCAGGAGCGTGGACTTACCATCAGCACCACCCGGATGCTCAGTGCCAGGCACCAGCCCATAGCCATGGTGACTGCTGGCGAGGTTGGGCTGATGGCACACTGAGAAATCGAGTCCTGCGGGGGGGGGAGGGAGGGAAAGAAAGGATGAAGGGTGCGAGAGGGAGACCACCAAGCCTCCAACTGAAGGCAGGTGCCCACCCCAGGCACTGCCCGTGTAATGGAGCTCTGACCGACCTTGCAGCCCCGGTGTGCCCGCAGAGGGGCCGTGCAATGGCCGCGGGCAGCAGTGCTCGGCGTAGCCGGAACCCTGAGGCGTAACGGGGTTGAACATGGCACAGCGGGGCCCGCCCAGCCTTCAGGGCCTCATCAGCTCCTCGCCGAGGGGCCGGCGCCGGTCGAGGCCTGCGGAGAGCAAAGCCCCGGCCTTGCGTAGGCGCGGTGCCCGCAGGGGGCGCCGCAGCGCCGCGCACGCAACGCCCGGGCCTCGGGGCCGAGCAGGCCGCAGCGCCCCGCAGGCCGAGGCCTCCACACCCTGCCCACACACAGCCCTGCGTGCCCGGCCAAAAGGCCCAGGGTTCGGGGGAGCAGCCCTGGGGTTGGGGGAGCAGCCCTGCGTCCCGCAGTTTGGCGCACAGAACTCAATGGAACACCTCCACGGACCCAACGGCCGTGGGACTCCTGTCTGCCTGCCCCTCGTAGGGCGTCCTGCTGCTGCCCAGCTGGGAGCAGATAGCAGTTCTGTGCTATGAGAGCGGTGAGGTGCTGGAACAGCTGCCCAGGGAGGCTGTGGATGCCCCGTCCATCCCTGAGGTGTTGAAGGGCAGGTTGGATGGGCAGCCTGGGCTGGTATTAAATTGGAAATGGTTTTAAGTTGAGGGAGGGGAGATTGAGGTTGGACGTCAGGGGGAAATTCTTTACAGAGAGAGTGGTGAGGCAGTGGAACAGCTGCCCAGAGAGGCAGCGGATGCCCTGTCCCTGGAAGCGTTCAAGGCCAGGTTGGATGGGGCCCTGAGCAGCCTGGTCTAGCATTAAATGGGGAGGTTGGTGGCCCTGCATTGGCAGGGGGTTGGAGTTTCATGATCCTTGAGGTCCCTTCCAACTCTGGCCATTCTGTGATTCTGTGACTCCCCTCCTCTCCAGGACCAGGGCAGCTTCCCGCACGGTGCACAGGTGTAACCAACAGCTGGGGCTCACGGTGTGCACCTGGAAGGGAGCAGGGGCTGCTGCCGGGGGAGGGCAGCACTCAGAGCCTGCATCCCTCCCTTTCTGGTACAGATTTAGATGAAAAAGGGCCTTAAAAACGATCCAGTTTCCCAGCCTGTCAAAATTGCAACAAGACAGCTGCAACAAGAATCGAAGGCACGGATGGATGGAGCCGCTCTTGGCTGATGGACCCAGGCTGGCATCAGGGCTGCAGATCACTCGGAGCCCTGCCCTGCCCTGCCCGTGGCTCCCCGCCCTGCCTGCGGGCCAAACCCTGCCCCGTCCCACCTACACAGCCCACGGGGCTCAGCCCTGCCTGCAGCCTGGAGCCCATTTCCACCCACGGCCTCAGCACCAGCTCCCAGCCCACAGCTCTGCCCCCTCCGTCCTGCCCCAGGACCCCATGGGTTTGCGAGAGAAACAACCAAGGAGCGGGGGAACAGGCGCATGTGGGTGGCACTGCTTACAAGGCCCCCTCCGCCTCCCCCGCGGAGGAATTGCCCCAAAGAAGGGGGCTGGGGGAGCGGGAGCCCCTCACCCTGCTGGGAAAGAGCTGGGTTGCGTTGGGAGCACAGGGGTGAGGGGGGCAGCGATTCTTCCGCATGAGTTGCCCCTTTGAAAGCTTGTCTAGGGGCTTTGTGAGAGTGTCAGGCAGGAAGAATGGAGGGGGGGCCAGCAGGGCAGCACGGTGGTGGGGCTGGGGGCAGCAAAGGGAAAGGCAGGAGGAGGAAATGGAGGAGACGGGGGGAGGACGGGGGGCTCTTACCTGTGTGCTGCGCCCGCGCCGTGCAGCACGGATGGGGGGAGCAGCTCCAAGGGACGCCCCTCATGTTGCCCCTACCCCAGGTGCAGCATCTGGCAAAGAGAGGGTGGGAGATCCTCAAAGAAATGTTTCGTGGAGGCAAGCACAGCTTCCTGCAGTACACATGTGTGCAGACGTGTGCAGGTGCATGAACACGTTTGCACATACACATACGTGCAGCCACCTGCACACGTGAGCACGCACAAACCTGTGTGCAGATGCAAACCGCGTGCTCACGTGGGTGCGCAGATCTCACACGCAAGTGCAAACATGTTTGCACACATACGTACATGTACACACGTGTGTCACCGTGGTTGCTGGGCTTCTGTCTGCATGAAGAGCACTCAGGTCTCGTCAGGGTGCAGCAGTGCTGGATCCCTTCTGCAGCTCCTGCACCTGGGGTGGGGGGACACAGGGTGAGGCACTCGGGATGCTTTGCTTCCCCTGCTGCAGCTCATGGGCGCTCATGAGACTCCTCCAGACCACCCCCCCCCCAAGGGGAACCGGGGGGATGCGGTGTTCACACCAAGCCCACGTGTGTGCGTGTCACATCACGTGCAACACGCAGCACGGGCACGGCCCCCCAGCACCCCCTGACCTGCAGAGCACATGTGCAACGGCGCACAGCACGCACACGGGATCCATACACGTGTGCACGGGTTTGCACGAGCACGGAGCCAAGTGCACACGGGGGGCACGCGGGCACGCGGCAGATCACATCCCTGCTGCCCCATAACTGCCAGCGTCGTGTGCCATGCCCTGCATGGAGGGCTGGGAGCAGCTCCCCACTACTCCCCCCACCCTGTGGGGGGGGTCACAGAACACCCCCAGTCTGGGCAGCAGGGAGGGCTTCAGAGTACCAAGCAATGGGGGGGCGATGGGGGCCCCCAGCTGTATGATGCTCCCCGTGGGGTCTGGGGGGACACCGCGCACCCCAGCAGCCTCCAAACTGGGGAATCCGGAGCGGGGCTGGGGGGACAAAGGGAGCCAATGGGATCCATCCCGTCATCCCCCCCTCTCCCCCCTCCCCATCATCACTCTCCCCTCCCCAACGCCGCCGCCGCCGCGGCCCACCCAAGTCGCAGCCCATGGGCATAAATCTGAGAGCAGGGCGCAGGCGGGATGGAGGGAATCTTCCCCGGCCGCCTCTTGCCAAGAAACTCAAACTGAAACACATTCCTGCTCTCCTCTGCCAAGAAAACACGGATCGCAGCCAGCAGCCGGAGCAGGGCTGGCTCCGGGCGCAGCAATGCCGCGCAGAAGGGGATTGGGACCGGTTCTCCCCCCAACCCCCCCTTCTGCTTTTTCCCTTTTTTTTTTCCTGCAAACACGTCTGATCGCTGTCATCTGGCTCCAGTTTGCGGAGGACAGGGGGAACGGGGCG